AAAAAGAAAAAAACATCTTTCTAGAAGTGACTAGTCTAGTGATACAGCCGTGGCTCCTTGATCCATTTTCTTTTGTGACATAGCTGGTTTAACAAGCAACCAGCTCCATTCTTTGTCTCCATCTGCTTTTTCTTCTCACACACACACACATCCTCATCTGTATCAGTCTTGCGGAGCTATGCTGAGCATTGGATTGCCAAATAATGAATTAATAATAAGCTATAATACCTCTTTAATTTTTTTCGTTTTAATGTATAGTGTGAATGACAGTGGCACTGGCAACTGAAGGAGCAATAAACTGCAGAGTAGATGTGGGAACACATAGCTATGAGACAAGATAGGTGGCAGCAAGGACAAGAACTTCTTAAGCCAGTTTTGCCATCCGAGAAAATATATGATATATCTACCCAGATGGGATATGGAGAAGTATGGTCCACGTTAACAGTATCTGTTCTCTCTCTGTCACACATTCGTGCTAAGAAACTCCACCATCATCGGCAAGCAGTGTGTGAGCTCAACTCTTTACCTCTTTACGTAAAGAGGACTTAACGCAGTCGAGCGTGAGTTCTTAAATGTCTCCATTTCCTGTGTTTTTAACCTCCGCTGTGATTCACCCTTCTCCCTTTTTCTGCTTAATCCACCCTTCCCCACATGCTTCACTTCAGAAACTGCTATGCAAATCATGTTTCTAAATTACTGGGTTTTTTTTAGTTGTACTCATAAGGAATAGTTGCATCCCAAGCTACGCAACAGGTTAAAAACAGAAGTTACTTAAATATGCCTGTACATATGGTATTTTACTGACTTTAAAGACACTGTATAATCCTTGCCTCAGCAGTTGTATTGGTACAGAGTTTACTATTAAAAACATCCAAAAGTGATGTTTTTTCAACTGTTTCTGGTGTTCAGTTCATAGCTACAAGGATTAGCCTTTTCCCAAGATGCCAAGTTTTTCCATCTGCCTTGAAATGGACAATACTGGAAAGCTTTTACAGCCTGAATTTAGTGGAAAACGGCAAGGTCTTTTCATTTTTCTTTCCTTGACCTCCTGAGTCCAGCTCTACTCCTCCTGAGATCAGTTCTGCTCTATCCTTTTCTGCGCTCCATGATTTCCACTGATTAAAAGGATGTGCAGACACGCACTTGATTCTATCTTCTAATGACAATCATTTCACTTACTACAGGGTCTTTAAAAAGGGCTTAATCTCATCTAAAACATGAATGTGTGTTAATTATGGCCGTTGCATCGTACCAGAAATGCACAGAGTCAGCGTTCCTGAGCAGGAATGGCTAAGGTGCCTTCAGTCTCCTTGCCCTTCCAACTTGGGTGGCTGAGCCACTCATAAAACAGCTGTCAAACTGCTAGGATTAAATGATGCTGTCACAGAAATTATCGTCTTCGGCTGTATTAGCACTGACTACATATTTGTAAAGAAATATCCACCAGAACAAAGCAGGATGTGCATTGATCTGATGATGTGCGCCACAGCACCGTAAGGTCTACCAGCAAACCGAGGCTACGGTAGCTCGCTCAGGAGCAGCGTGGCCAGCCACCCAGCAGCCGGGTGGAAAGCTGAGGACACTGTTGCAAGCTGTCGTCCTCTGCCACAAGCTGTCGTCCTCTGCCAGGGTACCAGCATCCTCAGACATGTTTTGTATTTTGACTGGATGCCTGTAAATCAGCATGTCTGGAATTCTTTAGAGGGTCAGCTGACCACCAATTTCCTGGATGTATGTTTGGCTTGGGATAGTTATCCTATCCTTGTAATTATTTTGGTTTTACATGCAATTATTTTTATGCTTCCTTCTTTTAGCATACTGCTGATATTTTTAACTTTAAGCCTATTCCAGGTAGCTCTTTCCTGGAGAATTATGAATAATGATTATTTACAAAAGGTAGAATTCAGTCATTCTGCAACATTAGCCTTAAAACTTAAAAAAAAAGCCTTTGGGGCTTCTCTGTAGAAGTCTTCCAAATAATTGCCAAGGCTGAGCTATTTCAGTTGTGTGACTAAAAATACTTTTTTCCCTGATTTAAAAACGGAGCCTGTTTCTTTCCCACAATTCGATGCAAACATTATGGAGTCAGCACTGTCTTGGGCCCCTGTCAGAAACAATGCCTTGAACGTGTTTAAATAAACTGTATTAGAGACACCAGGGACATCTGCTTTCAGTTCTCCCCAGTGTACCCTTTTGTAGCTCAAAGATCTCACTGTGGTGTTTATTTCAGCTACTGCTGAAGTTTACAATCCATTTACTTCCACGCCCAAGATGTGGAAAGTAGGAAGATTCCTCCACAGAAGCCCATTGATGCGAGCTCTTAATCCACTGTCTCTGCTCCCAACCTCATTCTTCTGTTTTTTGACATTCTGCTGGAAGGTTTGGGGCAGGTTCTTCCTGATGCTTTTCATTTTGGCATATACACTAGACAAAATAGCTTGGTTTTTTCCTCTTCCTAAACCAATGCGGGTCATTCTGGTATTAGGGCAAGATGCCAGTTTGGTGCACTCTGGTCTTGTTGAGTTTCCACCTTGTCAACTTTAAAAACAGGTGGGCATTTCCTTCCTTTTTTTCCTTGTGATTCTGCATCTGTCCGGTTTTCTAATATTTCTGTTGGTGACGTACAAAAAGTAGAGAGGCTTTTAATCACATCCCAAGCAAAGGGTCTGACACAATACAAGGGTTCCTGACAACACACACATACATAAAGAGAGCAGCATGGAGAGAAAAAAAAAGCACCAAATGGATATGAAAATCTTTGAAATGCTACCACACTCTTCTTGCGCAGTATTGCTTTCAGACATATTTAGAATTTTGCATTTGTATAACACTTTTCGTGTAAGAATTTTGGAAAACTTTATGGGAATGAAGCACAAATTCCCTAGCTGATTTTTGCCAGACTTTAGTAAGAAATCCAGCAGAACTCTAAATAAATCTATAGCCTTTCCCACCTTACTACCAGTTCTTCCCCACCTGAACATGTAAGTTTCTCAAAAGTCGAATTTATTTTTACACATAGCCATGTGAAATTACCATTTTATAGCTGGGAATTTGATAGGATAACATCCAGACCAAGTTCAGACAACTGTGCAGCTTGGCCAGCGGCTATCCCTAAGTTTCCACAGCCCAAATCCACTGCCCTATTTACTGGCAAAGTCATCATCTGTGCTCAAAAAGGGAGGCAATTACTCCAGAGCATCTGAAAGCCACATTTTCAACTGTAGCTCTGTGTTGCATTCTGTTTACTGCTTCTACTTATTTCTGCATGGTACCATCTGGATTCTGCTTCCTTTCTACTTCCTCATGGTTTGCAATTTCCTAAGTTCCTGCAGATATTTTTTGCATTTTGTGGACAATCAGCAATTTTTTAGCTCCACGAATACAGCTCAGCATTCCTTCACTTTATTTTTAGCCCAAACTGGCTACGAGAGAACTGCAGTTTGCTAGCTTTGAGCCTAAGACAGCTGACTCACTCAGAGACCGGCCTGGCAGATGGCTCAATCCCTCTCTAAAGCTAAGCAAGAACGGATCTTTGTCATTTCTAATATGCCAGCTGGTTGCAAATCCTCGAATACAGCTGATCCTTGAGGTGTGTCTGCACATGTTGCCTGCGGGCCTCAGCATACCCCACCCCACCCCGACTGAGAAAACACCCTCCATTCACTCCTAATTGACTTATCTTGGTTCTGTTTGGTTTTAGAATAGGATAGAATAGACTAGACTATTTCAATCGGAAGGGACCTACAACGATCACCTAGTCCAACTGCCTGAGCAATTCAGGGCAGACCAAAAGTTAAAGCATGCTGCTAAGGGCACTGTCCAAATGCCTCTTAAACACTGACAGGCTTGGGGCATCGACCACCTCCCTAGGAAGCCTGTGCTGGTGTTTGACCACCCTCTCGGTAAAGAAATGCTCCCTAATGTCCAGTCTAAACCTCCCCTGGCGCAGCTTCGAGCCATTCCCACGCGTCCTGGCACTGGATACCAGGGAGAAGAGCTCAGCATCTCCCTCTCCACTTCCCCTCCTCAGGAAGCCGCAGAGAGCAGTGAGGTCGCCCCCCAGCCTCCTTTTCTCCAAACCAGACAAACCCAGAGTCCTGAGCCGCTCCTCACAGGTGGGTTTTGTTGTTGTCTGGATTTGTTTGTTTTGGTTCCGTTTGGTTTTGTTGGGTTTTGCTTTCGCCGAGCCGTGCTGCGGCACCGAGGGCGGGCCTTCAGTTACCAGAGAGCCGGGTGGCTGCACGCCGGCTGAGGGACCCGCCCC